CCTGATTTGTCTACTCCGTGTACAGCCTCTTCCAAGCCCCAAGACAGTCTCCTCAATTGCGTGACCCGTCTCCAGAGTGTTGGCTCTGTAACACTCCACTAATGGTGCATAGGAGTGTATTGTGCGGGTTCAAGCCCTCCATTGTTTCCCCTGATTTGTCTACTCCGTGTACAGCCTCTTCCAAGCCCCAAGACAGTCTCCTCAATTGCGTGACCCGTCTCCAGAGTGTTGGCTCTGTCAAATGATCACTTTAAAACTTTGCGAACCTATTTAGTGACTACAACCGTCTTCCATCCTAACTAGGCTGCGACCCCCTATCCTTGGAGACTAACCTGATGACAGGGTACGCCTATCCGCCGTGTTTAGTAAGCAGTTCATATATCCAGATCACCGTACTGCACCAAATCGGGTATGCGAGCCAACCTGACGCGCCACAACCAACCCAATGGCCTACTGAACCGGGTTTACGGAAGCCTATGGCACGTCGCCCAGATCAATGTAGAAATAGAAAGAAAATACACAAACAAGATGTCCGCAATTCGTCGCATATCATTTTCGGCTCGTTTGGCATGGCGCACTGGATCAGGAACAAGCTACGGCCACATTTGAGGGACATTAGAGCCATAAGCGGCACGTATATAGACCAGCTGATGGCGTGTGAATACTGGGAGGCGAAGGCGAAAACTTTGGGAGGTGCCGAAGCTACACCCAGGGCCACAGCGGACCCGTCGGAGGTTATCGTGGGTAGGTCAATCCGCAAAATAGACCCCCGAACCCTCTGCGCATCTCAATCGTATCTAATTCTTCTCAAGGCATTCAAAGGGGGCAGATAACATCAGAAATGATATTTAAGATCGCGCGGTGAGGACCTGCGAGGTTCGCGTAGAGAGCTTACCAATGAGTCGTCACGAGGCTAAGTAAGTAAGACTAAGCCGAGGCGAACGAGTTCACCAGTCTAACACCGTGTATTGACGAGGTGGGTCGACTAGGAGGGTACAGGAAGCTCTAACTAGATGAGACGTGTACATATCATCTTATATAGCGTTCGAGTGGCCGTGGGTAAAGGTTGGAACAAAGATAAAGCGATGGGAAAGCGACGGAGGTCAAGCATGTGCTACTACCTTAGTAACAAGGGTCGATACAATAGAGGCAGTAATGAAGGAAGTAATGAAGGGGTAATAAGTCGTATGAGAGGTGTTTCGGGTGCGGAGATGAGAGTGTCGAGGTGAGAACTTCGAAACCTTACAGGACCATCTCGCTTAATTCGAGGCACCTTGTCTGTTTCTTGTAGATACCCGAGTGAGCAGGCGAGATATATCTAGTGGTAAAGATCGAAGACAGCTCAGGGTAACCGTTATCACACGGGGCTGCCCAACTTTGCACTCGCATCATCCTTCAGCTGGTGAATTTCGAGGATTCAAGACCGTATATTGGCGCATTTCTGCCGCGAGAGCGCTCATCTCATTGAAACCAGCATCGCCTACTGTGGATGGCCAAACATAACCAGTGGGCATTGTCAGGTTTGAACGTTAACAGTCTCAAGAGAATTACATACTAAACAGTGGATCTAGTGGGGTCATCTGTCGAAGGTTCACCCTTTGACTCTTAGCGCTCACTAAATAGACTTAGTCAATAGTAATAGCTCACATCGTAACTCAATGTATTTAGGGACGCGGGATGACACAGCCAGACCTTACTGGTCTTGCCTCTCACCTCACGCGTCCTAGGTTTGTTACACCATATATACTGGTCTTGCCTCTCACCTCACGCGTCCTAGTATCAACATCATCTAGTTCACCTTTGGAATGACCGCTGTCGGTAGTGCTGAACAATAACAGATTGACTATGACCTCGCATGGTAAAGTGAAGAACGCGTCGCACTTTCAGAAATTTAGCGACTACCAATTGAGAGGAGAATATACCGACAATCGAATAGACCGAGATCAGTGTCGAGCATCGTCTCAGGGGTAGCGCCGACTTGGTTTGTGCAGAATTTCTCTGAGACTCCTGGTCAATCTGCGTTGATAATCAGCGAAGATGAAGAAATTTGGCGTTAGACTTACTTTGTTACTTACAAAGGTCAATACGGAGAACTGCTCGAAAGATTGCGTAGGCAAAACATGTTTGCTTCATTTTGCTCAGTAGGAAGAAGGGACTCTTCTTCGCTCTCAGGGAACGATAGAACACGCCTTGACGCTCTCAAGCTGCCCAATGAATGGTCCATGTCCTTCACAGGCCGGGCGCGGATTCCTGCGACGATGAGACGTATCTTAGCAGTTAAGAAGCAAGAATTTACGTCTATATCGGTGTTTACCTGGTCGCCTGGGTTGATGCGAGTCGTCAAATGAGCTGTGGGTGGACCTTGATCCGCAGAAATGTGAACTGGTTGTTGCTCTGATTGATAGCGCTATTGACTGGTATTCACTGAATGGTTCAATTGGCGAGGCTTATCGAGTTGAGATTGAATCCTGTCCACCGTGTCCACTGGCCAGTCAACGTCAAGCTCGCTGATGGACATGTCGAAAATGAGTCGAGATCTGTTCAAGAAACATGGCGGATAATCTATTTGCTTGCTCACTTGCTATTAAGTCTGTGGTCGCTGACTACGAACCCTCTTTTCTGGCAGAGTCCCAGGTTCACAAAACGATTCATCGTCGAAGGTCTTTATAGCACTCGTTGGAGACCGGCTTTTGCATCTCTGGCGCGCTTAGAGCGACGCTGCGATTCGCCATCTGGGCGTGGCACACACCAATCGCCGTCGTCATCCCAGAATTTTATTTCGACTCGTGTCTAGCAGGCGACTATTATCAAGCAACCGAGTTCTGTGTGCTCGGCGTCATTTCTGCCTCGACCTCACCGACATTTGGTTGCCCGAGCTCACGCTCGAGGGCGTCCTAATCTCTTCAAGACCATCTTTTCAGTCCGAGTGCGCTACCTATAGAGCAGACAATCTAAGGTAGAATCAGAGGCCTCGTCGTGTAAAGTGATGATGCACGAGATCATTTGGACGTCTACACCGTTGCTCACGTCCAGAAACTTGTAGCACTGGCCCAAGAGGTTGTACTCTTTTCTATTCGCAAGCCCCCAACTGATTCGCGAGTCTAGGTCGACGTCTTGAAGTGGGTCTTTACACAGACTTTGCAAAGGTATCGAAGACTATACAGTATGACTCAGCTGCGTGCGTGTTATCATCCTTTACATAGTACAGTGTTCATTCCCTAGCGAACCATGACAAATACAGCGTAGTCGCCTGTTGAACTCAGTCCGATTTGATTAAGTGAGAGCACTTTGCGCCCAATAGCTCGTATGAAACCATGGACCAGGCTCCATGAGAGCATCTTAGTTGCGAATGATTTCCAGTCCTGGAGTTTCATCTCCGATTGAGCCCGCTCATCCTCCGCGCGACCAGAGACAGACCGATTCTTCTTAGGTGAGTGTTCACTGGTCAGGGTTGCAGATATCTGAACGGCTATATATAGATTCGACTGTTCTTCGTATCTCCGGGAGTCTCGTGCACATTTTGACTGACTCCCGAGCATTATTACGTGACAGGTAACCAGCAGAGGGAAATAGACACGTGTCCCTAGATTCGGCCTTATTCTAATTGACCACTGGGATCAACCAGCAACACTGCTTATCCTACATAGCCATCGTACTCGAGTAACAACTGAGTAGAGATTACCAGACAAATCCAATCAGTCAAAACCTAAATTTTATAATTAACAGGGAAACACTTACGTAACAGCCATAGCCTCTTCGAGCACGTTGGCGGGTGGTCGATAGGTCACCTTGTCGAGTGATACACCCACCACCGTGGCAAATGCATACAAGATACCGTCCACAGACTCGGTTCGTTCATTAGTGCAGTCGAGGATAAGACCACTGATCAGATGATTCTGTAATTATAGCAGTCAAGCCCCTCTCCTCGAAAGGAAGAACCGGACCAGACTCACCTTTTTGACTGCTCGAAGAAAACAATCCGCCAGATCATCAACGTGGACGAGGGCATAGGACCCTCCCGGCGTTCCAAACCATTCCAACTTTTCCACCGACGGAGTAGCTTGGGCGAATAAAGACGAGAACAGGCTCCCCTGTCGACCATAGACCAAACTTGGCCTGATGACAATCCCCCTGACAATCTCACTCTTTACCACCTGGTCTTCCACAGCTGGACGCCAGGCCACAAGTAAAGGCGGGGTCGGAAGGGACGTGTCGGAGCGTAGCTGGCTACGCTCCTCACCGTGCACCCACGTTCCAGAGGTGTAGATGTACGCCAGTTTGGAATATGTCCCCCGATTGCCAGGACGGATCCGAGCAGCAGAAGAGGTGACGACCTGGAAGAGACGACGAGCATTCGTGGCAATGTCGCCTGCTGCACAGTCGACTACAACGTCTGCGTCGACAAGGTGCTTTTCCCATGTTGCAGGATCAAAAATATCACCAATGAGTGGGATGACTGCAAATATCGTCAGCGATATGAAGACGAGGAGAGAACAAGGTACATACTTTCGTTTGCACGCATGAGCTGCGCATTCTTCTCACTACGCGATACGCCGTAGACTTGATGTCCGTTGCGTACAAGTGCATGTGCTACAAGGAATTTAGGTCACATCCCTCTGATAGTCAAGTCACGTACCGACAGGTAGCCCAATGAAGCCAGTACTTCCGAATACGATCACTTTCATTTCGACTTGTCTTCAAATCTGTTGTCCTTTCGAGATGAGAGGTGCCCCAATGGTACTTATACTCATGAAAGCGACTATATGAGCGCGGGTGAGCTCATCTTCCGATGTTTATCTGTCATCTTCGGCTTGCGCGCTCCGCACACGGCAGCCCTTTGCACCACGGTTTACCTATCGGACGTCCGATGACCCAAGGTCAAATGTTTACTCTGAGCGCTCAAACCTCTTGACTAGAATAGATATGCAATAGGCCTATAATCAACTAGGTACATTCTCGACCGCAGAATTTGCGTATCACATGGACTGGCTGATAAACCGTTACTTTGATTTAGACGCGTTGATTGCCTTCCACGCTTCAAAATAGGCCGCCATTCCGTCTGTCAACGAGGCCTTGCGAGGTTCCCAGCCAAGTAGACTGCGTGCGAGCGTTGGACGAAGTTTGGTCCTGTCATGAATTGTCACTGAGGGATCGCTTTCAAGAATAGTGGTACATACGTGACGGACATTGCCCCTTCGAGTGGATTCGCAGGCGCTCGATAGCTGACATCGCTATGCGAAAGCCCCATCAAATGTGCAAACGAGTACAAGAATCCGTCGACGGATTCCATGCGCTCATTGGTCACATCGATGACTAGACCAGAGACCAAATGGTTCTATACAACCGTCAGCAGACCAGAAAAGACGTGATATCCGGTGCTTACCTTTTCGACAGCGAGGAGGTAGCATTCCGCCAGGTCGTCGACATGGACAGTCGCATACGTGCCACCGGGAACGCCAAACCATTCGACTTTGCCGCTCCCAGCTTGGGAGAAGAGCATTGGCCACAGCCCGCCCGCACGTCCGTAGACTGTGCTCGACCGGATGACAATTCCGCGCACGACGCTGCTGTTAACGACGGCTTGTTCAAGTTTTGGACGCCATGCGACAATCTAGTTGATGTCTGTATCAGTATATATATCGTGGACGGTGAGAGCCGCTTACCATTGGAGGATTCAAAGGTGCATTGTCACTTCGCAGGACAGAGCGATTATCACCATGGACCCAAGTACCAGAAGTGTAAAAGTAGGCAATCTTGGGGACGCCCGTGCTCGGAGCCGCACGAATAGATGGGTCGACGACGAGCGATTCAATGAGCGCAAAGCGCCGTGGTCCATCGTGTAGCATGTCGCCAGATGCAACATCAATGACTACGTCGGCGTCGGCAAGATGTGCGGAAAACGTTTCTGCAGCAAATGGATCCCCAACGGCTGGGATCACTAGAAGCCCGTTAGTACAAGGGATGTAGAGACGGAACGGAGAAGTGGCGCACCTTCTTCTGCAAGTAGCTTTCTCGCTTGTTCTGCGTTGCGGGTCACGCCCACGACGATATGACCGTTGCGAATAAGCGCATGGGAAATGGCACTACCGAGTGTTGAACAGAGTATACTTAGGCAAGTGAGCGTTGTAGTCAAACCAGTGGATATATAGTGAGCTACCTTAGGCAAGTGAGCGTTGTAGTCAAACCAGTAAGGTTTGACTACGGCTGCTCACTCGCCACTATGTACATAGACGAGACAACAAGGCAATAAACTAACACGACCCCCTGACTTGGTGACTCGTCGATGTGCGACCCCCTGACGTGAGGGAATTATCATGAGAGACCAAGTTTACCTCGAAGGTATTCAAACTTGATGCGACCAAGGGGTTTGGTGAAGATGTCAGCGACATTTTCAGAGGTCGGAACATGCTGTACACGGAGTTCCTTGTTCTCAACGTGCTCGCGAATCCAGTTGTATGCACGGTGAACATGCTTCATGGTTGTCTGGTGTTCGGGATTTTTGACCACTTGGATGGCTGATGCACTGTCGAGGTAGAGAGGGGATGGTATAGAGATGTCATAGCCGATCTCTTCAAGAAACTGGCGCATCCACATTATCTCGCATCCCGCAGCAGATGCTGTTGTGTATTCAGACTCTGTGGATGAGAGTGAGACATGTTTTTGTAGTCGACTACCCCACATGACAGCTCCTGAGCCAACTGAGAGGACATATCCACCAGTGGATCGTGAGTTATCTGGGTTCCCACTCAGGTCGGCATCGCTGTGGGCAGTGAAGAGGTCGGTGGAAGAGGTGGGAGAATAGATGAGTTTGAGATCTTGCGAGCCTTTGAGGTATCTGAGGACATGCTTGGCAGCATTCCAATGCTGTTCTCCTGGGTTGGAATTGTATCGACACAGAACACCAACAGCATATGAGATGTCGGGGCGAGTTGCAATTGAGAGGTATAAGAGACGGCCTACGGCCTCTCTGTATGGGATGCTTTTCATTCGCTCCTTTTGTTCAGCTGTTTTTGGACTCATTTCTGCTGAGAGTCGAAGCCCATCAGGCATTGGCGTTGGAGATGGGGTACAGTCGGTCATATTGTAGTCTTCAAGTAGCTTTTGTATGTATGCTGGCTGTGAGAGAGCAATTGTGCGACTTGTGCGATCACGCTCAAGTCGAATTCCAAATATCTGGGTTGTCTGGCCTTGGTCATGGATTTTGAAGCGTTGCTTGAGTTCCTCCTTGACTTTGTGGATTGCGGAGTGAGACTTGGAAGCAAGGATGAGGTCGTCGACATGGACAGGTATGATAATCCGCACACCGTCGCGTTGGTAGACGAAGACACTGTGGTCGCATTCGAGTCGTTTGAAGCCTATCTCAGAGAGTACTCTGTGCAGCTTCACTGACCAAAGTCGCGGCCCCTGTTTGATACCATATAGACCTTTTAGCAGTCGGAGTACCCATTGATGTGACCCGTCGGAGTCTCCATGTATTGTTAATCCCTCTGGCGGCTGCATGTACACTTCTGCATCTATTTCGCCATTGAGGAAGGCTGTAGAGATGTCGACACTCTCCAGTTCCATGTCCTCAACTGCTGCTAGCGCAATGACTGTCCGCAGTGCTCCAAAGCGTGCTGTAGGCGCAAAGGTTTCGGTGTAATCTACACCTTCGCGCTGAGCATAGCCCTTTGCAACAATACGACCTTTGTACTTGTCAATTGACCCATCAGGGTTACGTTTGATCTTGAAGACCCAACGACATCCTATCGCCTTCTTTCCATGTGGCAGCCGCACTGACCTCCCAGGTTCCATTTTCCAGGTGAGCGTCAATCTCTTTGACTGCCGCTTCGAGCCATTTCTCACTATCGGGACGTTCTAACGCCTCAGCTAGGGTGTTGGGCTCGAGCTTTGCAGACGTTTGGAGGGCATACTCGACGCCATCAGCCAGTGAGACCAACACATATGCTGTGTCTTGTTCTATTGACTGTGCAGCATCTGCAGTCTCATTATATGCTGGGTGAGCTGATCGAGTCTGCCGCTTGCCTGGCAGGCTCCTGGAAATTTCTCGAAGTGCTCAAGGCCTCTTGGTCTCCTGGGTAACTCCGTACTGTTGCTTGGCGCAAGATGTCTGTACTGAGCAGGGAGATCTAGTGTGACTCTCGGTGGCTCTTGGGTATCGTTGCCATTTCCATCGTTGTCATCGTCAGAGTTGCTGAGATCAAGGAGGTTTAGGTCTGGGAGTGAGTCTTGATCATCACCTTGGCCTTGCTCCAGACAGATTCGCTCGTCAGGAGGTGGACCAGATGGCTGGACTGGAGGGTTTGGTGTGTGTGGCACAAATGGGACGAGAGAGAATGATGGTGATATGTCATCTACAGGCTGTGGAACATGGCTCTTCGTTTTAGAACCCCCTGGGAACTCATCTTCGACAAATATTGCACTGTCAGAGACGAAGTCCTTCTGTGTTTGTGGGTCCCAGAATATCCAACCTTTGTAGTCATTTGGATATCCAATGAAGACACATTTTCGCGTATGGGGTGCGAGCTGTACACGCTGATCCTTTTGAAGGTGTACATGGGCTCGGCAGCCCCAAGCACGTAGGTGTCCAACAGAGGGTTTTGAGCCATTCCAGATCTCTATGGGGGTTATACCATCGAGAACAGAGGATGGAAGTCGGTTATGGGTGTGGACAAAGGCTCTGGCAGCATCAGCCCAGAACGACGGTGGTAGCTTTGCTTCTGAAAGCATTGCAGTTACCCCTTCAGCAAGGTGACGGTTGAATCTCTCAGCGACTCCATTCTGCTGGGGACTGTCGCGGATGGTGTGTTCGCGTTGGATGCCATTCTCTGCACAGTAGTTTTGGAACTCGGTGGACATGTATTCACCACCTTTGTCATCTCGTAGACATTTAATTTTTACCCCCAGTTCCGTCTCAGCGTGCATTTTGAAGTCTTTAAATGCCTCGAGAACTCTGTCCTTGCTGGGGAGTGTGTACAGGGTAACACGACGTGACTTATCGTCAATGAATGTAACCCAATACCGATGTCCCTTCCGGCTCTGAGTTGGCACTGGCCCATGGACGTCTGAGAAGATGCGTCCAAGGACAGATTCTGATCGTTTTGCAGGCACTGTATGTGGTGCACGAGTCTGCTTGCCCTCTACACAGGGTACGCAAAGAGCTGGGGTTATTGTCTTGCCAGTGGTGGCAAAATCTTTGACAACACTAGTTGAGAGCATCTTGTCGATTGTGGCATAGCTCCGATGGCAGAAACGCCGGTGCCATGTCTCAATTGACACTGGCGTGGTTGTTATGGCATGGGAAACCGACTCAGGTACTGTCCCTGGTTCGTCTGTGCGGCCTTCGAGTAGTGGGACATTGTGAGCACGCTTAGTAGCAATGAGAATCGCATTCTTTTCTTTGTAGAAGCAGAGCGTGTTGGAATTGATAGTCGCAGTGATTGATGGGGAGAGAGTCATCATGAATATGGAAAAGAGGTTGTTTTTCAGATTGGGAACGAAGAGGACATCTTTGAGAATTATGGAACTGTCGAGTTTTCCATCTAGCAGTGGCCTAAACGTGACCATTCCCCTACCCGTACCAAAAGTGATTGATCCATCAGCTAGCTTCACAGGAGTCCTGCACTCCGAGAAGCTAGTGAGCCACTCGCGACGATGTGTCATATGGCAGGAGGCTCCTGAATCAGCAATCCAGCTGTCAGCTGCTGTAGGTACGGGTAATTGGGACAAACTTGCATTTCCGGCATATTCGACCTCTGTAGGCTTATCGATTGCTTGTGCAGCATGTGCCTGGTGTGACCGTCCTGGAGCAGAGCTCCGATCACTGCGTCCACGTGCTCGGTGTGGCTGGGTTCCGGAGGTACCGGCTCGTCGCTCGGCGCGCTTGTTCAGGTACATCTGCTGGAAGCGGACCATTGTGCGGCAATCTTTGACAAAATGGCCGATGTTTGGCAAAGGCATTTTGTTGGTGTGGTAACGGCGGCAGCAACCTCAGGTGCTATGTCCTGCGATTCTGGTGTCGTTGTGTTGAATAGGAGCATTGCTGTTTTGATTTTGTCGTAATTGATTGTGTTGGAAACGACAATGCTGGTGCGCAGCTGATGCTCAGTGGGGATGGCATTGAGTAGTGTAAATGCCTTGAGTTCCTCTGTCTCCTTCTGTATGTTCCAATCGGCTGGGCGGAGACGGTCAAGTGCATGGGTGGCATCATCCACACGTTTGACCAGGTCTGCCCATGACTCTGTTGATTGCTTGCGGATTGAAAGCAGTTCATTCCACGCTCTGAAGCGCATGCTTCCATCCTTTTTGGCATAGAGCTCGAAAAGCGCATCGTAAATTGCCACACCATCAGAAGGTGTCTTTTCGAGGATATGTCGGTGTTCCTTGCCGGCTGCAGTGCGTAACCATGTGGCCACCTGACGATTTGCATTATCATAGGTTTTCTGTGCAGAGATTTCTTCTGGCGTTGGCTTTGTTGGATCTGCATAGCCAGGTCGTGGGATGCGTGCTTTGGTGCTTGGATCCTTGGCAAAGAGGATTGTATCGTACTCAGCAAGGGTAAGAAGGCCGTCAAAATTCCAAATCCATTCTTCCCAATTTGCTGGATTCGGTGTGCCGGCCCGTATGAGCTGTTTGAGAATTGTTTCCATCAGGGGTATTTGCGTTTACCGAAGGTGATCCGGTTTTAAGCGAGGAGAAAAATTTTCTGTTGGCTTCCCACGCCGTGGATGTCAAGTGCGACGCAGGGGATTGGGTACTGAGCAGTGTCTGTGGAGGTTGGCGTAGTGTGTGTGCTCGCTGAATGTATGCACTAGAAGTAGAATCGTGCAGTAGTTGATATTGATGGATACTGAGTGGTATTACTTGTGGGCACTGGCGGCAACGGCTGTAGCAAGCACTTTTAGAGCGCAGGGCTCATAACCTGTTGAACAGAGTATACTTAGGCAAGTGAGCGTTGTAGTCAAACCAGTGGATATATAGTGAGCTACCTTAGGCAAGTGAGCGTTGTAGTCAAACCAGTAAGGTTTGACTACGGCTGCTCACTCGCCACTATGTACATAGACGAGACAACAAGGCAATAAACTAACACCGAGGTAGCCAGTGGCACCAAACATGATGACCTTCATGTTTGTATATGGGTTGGATGCTAGAGACGAAGAGTTGTAGAGTAGCAAAGGAGCTGATGATACCTCCGCGGCACCTCCAAGCGCCTTTTATGCCATTCTCAACCCTCCAGACGATTAAAAATAGTCACTTGATGCATTGTCGTCCGCGCCTGTTGCGATTGAAGTGTTCGAAGTCGGTAGAAAATATCGGAGGTCAGTACGCGAGATGGCGCATTCAGTCCCGACTGAATTGATCGAAGCCGGGGGTTAAAGCTGAGTTGAAGACGGGGACGCTGACAAAGATGGTGGATAATATTGGAGAAAAGTGGTTATCAAACAAAGAGCGGTGATGCCTCCGAGTGAAATGAGCGTGCCGCAGTACGCTGTTGGTAGCCATCAAGGACATGCTATATATAGATACGATCAACTACACCTTAATCAACTGTTTCCCACTGCTCAAGTGCTTGTGCGAGACGAGCCCATCTGCCGCCATGCCAAGTCGCAATCTTCTCCCACACCTCGTTCTTTCCAGCTCCAATTCGCACGGCTACAGATTCTCCGGTACCACCACTTGTAGCTTCGGTCTCATTCTCGTCTCTACAAACGATCCTCACCCAAAGGAGCAACGCGCCGATACCAAAATCTGCAAACGTAGGGCCAAAGGATCCCATGACCCATTCATTTTGCGCCTCCATTGCTGAAGTAGCACCATCCACTTTCACCGTCATTCCCTCCTGACGATTATATTCGAGGAAGCGGTTAATTACGTCGAGAGCTCCGTGTATCTTGTCGAGCTGGGCTTGAAACGCTTCAGGTGAGCGTGGATAGTATTCGTCCAGTTGAATGTTGAACCACTTTTCGCGTGTAGACTTGTAGTACTCTGCACCCCGCGGGTCGAGGGTCGCTGGCATACGTGGGAGGATGAATGGGAATATTGCAGGTGCGAGAGTAGAAATGACAACGTTTTGCGCAAATGCGATTTGCAACGCGCGCGTGTTTGGTGGTAAGACGCGAGGTGTGTCTGGATACTCGGCGTCTAGAAAACTGTGGATAGTCAGCCAGGGATTGGAAGCAGATGGCGGGCGTACATGGCTATATTGATAGAGTCAGCAATGACGCTTGGAGGTCCGCCGTCTTCAGACGGAACAGAGATGACTGGGAGAAACGTCTTTGGTCTATTTGGACCTTGATCCATTGGCGAAAGTCCGAGACGAATCCATAGGGCATCAATGTCGGGATAGGAGACGTAGACAGTCTTGTAGGGCAAGCGTTTATAGTTGAGAATATATCTAAACAGAGGTTACAATGGGTATCCCAATGCGTTTCGACCGACCTTGCTCGCCAAGTGCTGGGGGAAGATGCTTGTGGCTTCAGACCAGATGCAACATCGTAGAGAGTAATCTGTTTGATTTCATCGTGTTGTTGGTGTTCCATGTTTGTCGTTTGTGCGCAAGACGGTTTGGAAGTGGCCGCGTAATATACTGGAGACGGCTCCAAGTCGACTCTCGGCCACCGGCATGCCGAAATACAATCATGACCCAGCCACAACTACAGCAAGGGAAGGACTTCTATTGGTAAAGCGCTCATGGGAGGGCCAGCCGATGGAAAAGGGGGACTTTTCTGTAGAGAATCATGTAGTCTCTCCGAGAAATCATCCTATCCAGCGCTTTTGAGCGGTGTAAAATTGTGTATTCCACCAAGTACGTTCGTCGCTCGGACGAAGGAGGGATCAAGTCATACTATCGTCTCCCATTCCTCTAGTGCCTTGGCAAATCGTGCCCAACGACCTCCGTTCCATGTAGAGATATTTTTCCAGAGATCGTTATTCCCACCTTTCCCATCTGGACCCTCGAGACCTTCTCCACCAACAGTTCGCACCCAGACAAGGATTCCTCCCAGACAAAAGTCTGCAAAAGTCGGACCATCCGTTCCCATGACCCAGTGTCGGTAACCTGAAGGAGAGCTTGTCAACGGGGAGGATGGATAGTTTTCGAGCAACGGGCTCATGGCGTCGTCCTCAAGTTGGCCATTGGAGAGGAGGAAGCCATTGATCGTGTTCAATCCAGCACGCAACTTTTCCATTTGTTGTTTATACTTTTCGGATCCAGGAGGGCATAGCTCCTTGATGGATACACCCTCTGGACAGTACCATTTTTGGCGTGTGCGGGTGAAATATTCCGCTCCTCGCTCGTCTAATTTTTCCAGAACACGCTGGAGAATCATGGGACGGAGATGTGCGACAAATGTGGTCGCAAGGACGTGCTGGACGAACGCGGCTTGGAGAGCGACTGTATTGGGTGGCAGGACACGAGGAGTGTCTGGATACTCGCGATCTAGAAATCTATTCGTTGATTAAAATCGAGAACACGCGAATTCTATATCGATGGCTCGCGTACAGCGCAATCTTGAACGAGTCGGCGATGACCGAAGGGGGCCCGCCGTCTTTGGAAGGGACAGAGATGACCGGAAGAGTCGAATTGGGCTCATTTTCAAGTAGAGATAGACCCAATTTCTGCCAAAGAGCGGCAATGTCGGGATAGGACACCCAGTGAGTTTCGTAAGCCAGGCGCTTGTAGTTGAGGACATAACTTGGCCAATGTTATCAGGCCTTTTTTCTGGAGCAGAACAGGGCGAATTACCGTGCTTTCCAAGGGTTTGGAGCCCACGCCTGCGGGGATAGCCGTGATGGAATGTCGTACAGAATAATCTTTGACATTGGATACGTTGCCGGGAACAAAAGCGCCGAAGATTGTTTGGGAATGCTGTTTGGCGGGCATTGTCCCGGAGCGCAAGTGGCAGTGCACAATGGGCCTCTATGGTTCTCCCTTTTTGGCCACCCAACCTCCTTTGTATATATCTCGACCTCGAGATCAGTTGGCCGGAGATCACCTCTCTCCCTTCCTCTCTCCCGCCTCCTCGTTCCCTTTTGTTCCCTTTTCTCCTCCTTCTCGTAAGTGGCACAGCCCATTGTATATAAGATACTCATTCATCCTCTGCAGACTCTCCGTTACGATCCACCACCATGCCTTTTGCACAAGGAGACATCTTCACCGCCACCCTCGACGACAATCAAGTCTTCCAGCGTCCAGGCGCTTCCTCCTCTCGCTCGTCCTCGCTGTTGTACGTCTATCGTGCCTCATCCAAAGGCTATCGACTCACCACAACCCTCTAGTTCCAGCATCCACTCGTCCCAATTCTTCATCATCTCCTTCCTCCTCTTTGTCGGCACCGCCCTCCAGGCATACTTTGCCCCCGCTTCTTCCGTCCAATTCGCAGTGGCAGGCACCGACACTTTCCAATCCTTTGCAAAAGATGCCATCCTCGTCATCTCAGACATGCTCTCGCCGCTCATGCTCCTCGCCATTGGCGTTGGCATGGCGGGTACCCTCTGCCGTGGATTGGAAGTGGTGATTGAATCTGCAGCATTCAGAGGTCGCGCTCTATGAGCAATATCCTCGACGCTGCCCTCTGGGATTTCGCCTCTTCTTGACGACTATCAGTCAAGTGAGCGTCCTGACGAGCATTATGGACGACACACCCTCATGACCCTTGACTCACGACCCGTTTACGATCCGATACCACCCCCCCTCCACTGTATCCCTACCCTTCCTCCCCTCCACACTTTGCTTGTGCATACTTCGTTACTTCGCCCAGCTTCCGTATCTCGAAATTATTCTTCGGGTTCCTTGGAGCTTATTTTTTTGGCCTTGTATCAATGCAATTGTTTGACCATGCCTCGTCGTGGTCCCCTAGCCAATCTTTCGTGTGCCGCTGAGTGTGAAACTCTATCATCTCCGCAAATGAGAATCTGAAGAAATCGTGAACTCCAATTCTTCTGACCGTCTTCGATCTTCAATCGCTGACACTGTACTTTAGACTTTTCAATGGCCGTTCGCCGGTTGGCCAAAGCCAACCGCAAGTTGAGCTCGACCAACAACTGACTACGACTGACTATAAGCCTTTTCATAGTCGCAGGTATGTCAAGGCCTGTTCGAATTTCATCCACTAAGTCCAGTAAGACAGCCATGCGGCGTTCAACGAGACGAAAACAGCCCCCAAAAGGCGTCAAACCGCAACTTTATACAGAAAAATCTGATGTAGACTCGGCGTCGGAACCACCAGAGACCATCGCAGAAACAGGGTCGCGAAGAACGCTCTCCAACGAACCGGTATGCCTCTTATTGCGCCTTCTTGCTTTTATATCTAATCCCATATTCAGGAAGAGGTCATGGAGACTGTAACGCAGCTATCCAACTTTCTCCCGAGCGAACAAGAAGTCCGACAAGCGCAAACACTCATTTCCCAATACGAAAGAGAATACGAGGCGGCTCAGGCAGAGTACCAAGTCAAGAAGCTGGAACTAGACGCATTGGCTCATCGAATGTCGACGATCCAATCCCGCATTTTCGAGAAAAGGGCCTCGATAGCCCCCATCCGTCGCGTCCCACAAGACGTTTTGTCAATGATCTTTGGCCTTTGCGTACGGGAGAATGCCACCTCCCCATGGACTCTAATGCACGTCTGCCGGTCCTGGAGAGCTGCCGCCATGCACACGGCAATGCTTTGGAACCGGATCATGATTGCGCCTTCCAATTGGGCTGGAAGGCGTAAAGGTGCCCCCAAGTTTTACGAAGGAATGGAAGTCTGTACCTCTGCGGGTCAACTCGAGCGTGCGATCAAGCAAGCGGGCTCAACCCCACTCGAAGTGCGTTTACTCATAAGTGGGACCGCGTATAGACGCTGGGTGTGGGCGTTTAGTAATTATGATCCCAACGAATATTCGAATCAGGAACGCGAGGTGCATAAACTCCTCGGCCATCTCAACGACCTGAACATCCGAGTTCCGTTGCGGGCCCTGGAGATTGACACTGGCGAGAGATTTTCCATCCCGGAAAAGTATCTACAGTGCTTCGTATGGACAGACATCGAACGCCTCGTACTCGATGGAGAGTACCCAATGATCCTTTCGGCCGTGGTCGAAAGCGGAGCGAGGAATCTCAAGGTTCTGAGCTTGGATTATCCTGATATCATCGATGCGATTGACACCATTCCATGGGCACAACTCAAAGAACTGGGTGTCATCAACTCTACCGATCCTCTCGAGTCTCCTCTATTGATTGATGCATTACGACGATGCAGCAATGTGGAAACTTTGACTCTCAAAGACGTACGCGTCGGTAATCAGGATAGAGCAGACCACCCACTCGTCGAGATGCCTTCGGTCACCCGATTGACACTAGACTTGGTTGTACCCCTCTGGCCCATCCATTGCCCCAATCTAACTCATCTCTCCATTCAAAATCCAGAACAAATTCACACCACGCGGATAATCCGTCTCCCAAACCTGGTTTGGCTCGGGTTCAACGGGTCAGTCCTGAACCGCCTCAACTGTTTTGACGCTCCAAAGCTACATACATTCGAATGGACGTCCGGTGGAGGAAAATCTGACAATCTCAGCGGGTTACGGGACTTGTGGCTTCATAATAACCCCATTGTCATTGATCCCATCGTCGTCAAAGTTTGCGACATGACGCTGACCTCGAAATACTTTGCGCTAGCACTCTTTAGGCTCGTTCGCTGCCAACGACTTCACGCGATACGCACGCCTCTTGGACCCGAGTTTTCGAGACTCCTGTCCCTGCCGCCCTGGTTGGCAAACGCAAAGGTGGCGCAGGGTCCGGTACCACGATCCCACTTCGTAGTTTCCGAGAGTTTATCTTCGATTTTATGGGTGGCAAAAAGGTGGAGGACGGACCGCTTCAAGAAGCCGCCAAGTCGTTTATCAGGAGAAGAGAGGAACTTGGCGCACCCATTCAGAAACTGGACATTCGAACGCAAGATGGCACATGGCACGACCTCGTCGAACTTGTGCATAACGAGCAGGCAGGTGAAGTGTCGGATGAATAGAATGTATATACACGTACATATCGCGTATCCGGTCCTATTTGCATCCTCTTAACTTATCATATTCCAACTAGTTTCCATAATCCACACCTTCGTATTAGCGCCTGTTACTATAAATCGTTACTTGTACTCGAATGTCTATGCATGATTCCTGCGTTCATTTCATGTCCGAACTTTCCGAGACGGGCTCTACGGTGTTTGCGATTGCAGCGGGGCGATTCAGATAATGCTTCGCCCGCTCCTCGCTCTGCACGAGGTGAGCATACTTGGGCTGAACGAAGAGGGCTCTGATCAATAAGCCGTCAGAATTTCTCATATTTTGAGCAAGGTCGATACGTACTCTGCTTTGACGAGCAGATTCCCTTCCAAGTCTTCCATATGTCCAGACAAAAAGACCTTGCGGCCTTCTGCCTTGTCGACCTTGGTCTTGAACACTACAAATTGATCTGCCCTCGTAGGCGCCTTGTATTCGATCCTGAGCCACGCCGTCACTCCAATTTTAGCCGGAAAGCTCATGACTCCCTAAAAAGATGAGTCAACAACACTCAGAAGAAGTTTGATACTCACTGTCCTGAAAAAAGCGTCGTCGAACATTGTTGCAATAGCACCTCCATGTACGATGCCATCATGTCCACAGATGCTCCTACCGAGATGGATAACACCAGTCAAGGCCTTTTCGTTTGTTTCGATGAAGAGGAGAGGGGGGATGGCCATCTTCCCGGGGGCCCTGCATCAATCCAGCCGTAAACGAGTGGCGACTGAACGACTCGGACAGGTTCAGATATGGCCGCACCATATAATGCGTTGGAACCTCTGTCCCCGGATTGTCGGTGGTCGAGGCATTCAAATTCTTCCGGCTATTCACACCAGCAATGTCCTTTGGGCCTAGGAACTGAGCCGGGACAGTATCCGCGTTGAGAGGATACGACTTTTGTGCGAGCTCTCTAACGAGCGGAATTTGCCAGAGTTGTTTCTCTAACTCTGCTGCGGCCCGGAGCGCTTCTTTGGAACCCTTCTCTGGTGACGGAGGTGCTTCGCGAGGGTAGACTAAGGTGTAGAGATCGGGTGGGTAGAGTACTCCCAGTGTATACGTAATAGAGAGTAGCGCAAAGCCGAGGGCTACGTAGTGGATGAGTCATGATAGCAAAAACTCATTGAACCGCACCTGCTCGTAATCCAGTTCGAGAGGCTGCCTGAGCAGGAGCTTCACCCGATACGCTCGCTGTTGACGCATGTCGGAGCTGTGATGGAAATTGTGGAGTGGCTGTTCTTTCCTTTACAACTTGCGGCGCTCTACATATCATTGAATTCCTTGTCGGAAGCAGAGCACGGTGGACAGTTGCCGATCCATTCCGGAGGAGTCTGTGAAGAGACATCTTAAAAGCAAGGGTGCTGTTGGTCTTCGAGGTAAATAGATAAAATGAAAAGAAAAGTTTGCAGATGCGGTCGGGTCCAAGGTTAGCCGGCTGGTCAATAGCCGGGTAATTCATCCGCACTGAATACATTAAGTAAGACAATAGCCTATTGGAAATTACCGAATAATGCGGGGATAACCTCAGATTATCCATGACTAGGATGTAAAGAGCACCTTACACATTCTACAAGAAGACGAGAGCCAGTACATGATAGAAGAAAGTATACCAATGGCCATAGAAACCGCAATCGACCATTGGTCAATGTCTGTCGAAGGTTGGACCCAGCCATCCTGCCAAAGTGAGCTAGGTACAAGGCTTTTCTTCTGATTCACTTGTTGGGCAGGTCGAGTCTGATCTTTGACTTCAACTATGTCTATCCTATACTACTAACAGTACCCACGTACGGAAATTCGAAAAGCGAGGAACCGAGGATTGTGCCCGTCGGTTCTAGAAACTCGATAGATTCAAATCGGGATACCGGTTTACTCCTGATCACTCCATTGATCCTTTTCCCAATCAATATTATACGAGTCGAGGTCGTGCCTGTGCTGATAGGTGTAGGCCCTATCCTGTGAATCGTCACTAATAGTTGCATCGTCAGACCCGGGTCCGTCTGCTTCTGTATCTTCCTCAAACCAATCCCCTTCATCGCTCTCAGGCGCATCTCCGTCATCACCCTCCGCAAGTAGCGGTTTGACGGAATGGCGCTCTTCCCAGAGGTGGAGCGCCTCATCCTTCTCATTGATGAATGCCACTTGTTTGACGCTGCATAGCGTGATTGCCATTTTCCAGATGTCACGAATGCGTGGCGGAAGAACCTGGTTGGAGTCGATGCATCCATCTGGATAGTTTCCTACCAATCTGATGCTCCTCATCGAAGGAAGACCATCCTTCCCCAAAAGGTTGAATAGGGGCCAAATGAGAGCAAATGCGTGCCACGAATAACTGTGCTGGATAATGGCGGTGATGGACTCTAGATTATGGTGAACAATATCGCTCAATCTCTCTGTGAGCATCAAATTGTCGAAGGCTACGGCAGGGACTGTCAGGATAAGATACCTGAGGTTTGGGACCTGAGGTAGAAATATGTCCAATCGATCAAGGACTGTCAAGAGGGCAGCACTCCCAATATGTACGGAGGTAAGATTGGAAGCATGTCGGAAGAATAGAGAGTCTTCTCCGTATCCACTATCATCCAAATTATCAAATCGTAGAGTTTGTAGCGTTTCGAGTGAAGGGACGATTTCGCATAGTAGCCTCATTGTCACAGAGGCGGAAAAGGATGGATGACTAGACCCTCTTCCACTCGCGAGATGCAGTGTACGGAGGACTGGAAGTGGGAGCGAGTTTGGTTGGAGCTTGTCGAATGGTGTGCCTGTCCATTGGGCGTGTGCGTGGTCCCTCGAAATCCGCAGGTTCTTCAAACTCGAAGAGTGCCGTGGTAGCGCAAGGTAGAGGATTTGTTCGCCCCCATACAAGGGGAGGAGGTCGATTGAAAGGGTGATGAGATGTCCTTGAGGGATCCGGATCAATAGTTGTGTGCAATCCTCGATGTAATCATCGTAGGATACCCCTCGCTCCTTGCACAGAACCGATGTGTTCGGAACGATTTCAACAGCCGCTATTCTCCTCATTATCTGTGGTACTCTGTCCCCGGAATCGGTTGGAGCAAGGAGCTGATTGAGTCTACTCGCTTGACCCGATGTTTGGAGCACAATATGCTCGTAGATGAGTTGCCATCCAATGCTGTGCCATCTTCGAGAAACAAGAGGGATAGATCGTCGCGCAAGGGACGAAATTACCCAGCGCTGCGGGTCTTCTTGGAAAGCTTCAGAGCCAAATGCGAACCCATCTATATGTGTCGCATATTGGAAGATGTGTGTGAGAATCTCAGTTGGTAAAAATGGCATCGTTGTCATCGACACTCTAAAGTAGACGGTTCAGCAGGTGCAGTAAAGATACAAAAATACCGTTACTTGGATCGCTCTTTCCATTTTGAAACTCTTAATTGCTCTTCTAGCTGCCCACAATGCGCCCGAAGCTCGGCATTCTGAAGTTGAGAATGTTCCAACTTTTCCATCAGTCTCCGGATCAGCGTTGCTTGCTCAGGAATGACCTGTTCACATGTATCATCGAAGAAGTATCCCATATTTTTAAAGGGGTATGAGGTGGATAAACAGAGTTGTGGTCAGGTGCAAGATGCAAACGAGAGTACCATACCCCCCTATTCAATTCTAAACGTTAAGGTTGAAATAGAACGAGTTTAGCAAATCGTTGACTTCCACATATATACAACGCATCAGATCGGAGTGCAGAACAACTATGGTGGGTGCCGGGATTGTGTCCATGAGCTCGACTGGTTCAAATTGGGATACATGGTTTAGTCCTGATCACTCCATCGATCCTTCTCCCAATCAATCTTATGCGAGTCAAGGTCGTACCTGTGCTGATATTTGTAGACTCCGTCCTGTGAATCGTCGCTAATCGCTCCATAGTCCGGGTCAGGCGCGTATTCTTCCGCATCCTCTTCAAACCAATCCCCTTCATCGCTCTCTGATGCATCTCCGTCATCACCCTCCGTAAGTAGCGGTTTGACGGAATGGCGCTCTTCCCAGAGGTGGAGCGCCTCATCCTTCTCATTGATGAATGCCACTTGTTTGACGCTGCAAAGCGTGATGGCCTTTTTCCAGATGTCACGAATGGGCAACGGAAACACCTGGTTGGAGTCAATGCATCCATTGGGGTAGTTTCCTATCAATCTGATGCTCTTCATCGAAGGAACACCATCCTTCTCCAAAAGATTGAATAGAGGCCAAATGAGAGCAAATGCGTGCCACGAATAACTGTGCTGGATAATGGCGGTGATGGACTCTAGATTATGGTGAATAATATCGCTCGATACCTCTTTGAGCACCGAGTTGTCCGAGTCTTCGGCATTGACTGTCAGGATAAGGCGCCTGAGGTTTGGGACCTGAGGCAGAAATATGTCCAATTGACCGAGGACTTGCGTGAGGGCAGCACTCCCAATATGTACGGAGGTAAGATTGGAAGCATGTCGGAAGAATAGAGCGACTCCTACGTATCCAAGAGCATCCAACCTATCAAATCGTAGAGTTCGTAGCGTGTCAAGCGAGGGAACGATTTCGCACAGTAGCGTCATCGTCACAGAGGCCGAAAACGATGGATGAATACACCCTCTGCCACTTGCGAGATGGAGTGTACGGAGGAATGGGAAGGGTAGCGAGTTTGGTTGTGGCTGCCGGAATTGCGTGCTTTCCCATTGGGCGTGTGCATGATCTATGGAGATCCGCAAGTTTTCCAAGCTCGATGAGTGTCGTGGTAGTGCAAAGTCTAGGATTTCCTGGCACTTCTGCGAGGCGAAGAGGTCGACTGAGAAGGTAAGGAGACGTCCTTGAGGGATCTGGAGAAGGATTCTTTTACAATCCTCGATGTAGGCGTCGTAGGATATCCCTAGATCATCACGCAGGACTGATGAGTTCGGAACAAATTCAACAGCCGCTATCCTCTCCATTATCCTTTGTACTCTGTCCTCGAAATTGATTGAAGAGAGGAGTTGATTGAGCCTACTCGCTTGACGTGCTGTTTGGAGCACGATATGTTCGTAAAGATGTTGCCACCCGATGCTGTGCCATCTTCGAGAAACAAGAGGAATTGACCGTCGCGCAAGGGACGAAATTACCCAGCGCTCTGACTCATCGCGGAGAGTTTCAGAGCCAAATGCAAATCCGTCTATATATGTCGCATATTGGAAGATGTGTGCAAGAATCTCTGTTGGTAAGGATGGCATCGTTGCCACCGAGATTCTGAAGTTGGCGGTTCAGAAGATGCAATAAAGGGAAAGACATGCCGTTACCTGGATCGCTCTTTCCATTTTGAAACTCTTAATTGCTCCTCTAGCTGCTCACAATGCGCCCGAAGCTCGGCGTTCTGAAGTTGAGCATGTTCCAGCCTTTCCATCAGTCTCCGGATCAGCGTTGCTTGCTTAGGAATGACCTGTTCGCATATACCGTCGCAGAAGTATCCCATATCTTTAAAGGAATCTGAAGTGGGTAAACAAAAGTTGTCGTCGGGTGCAAGATGCAACGAGATTACCAAAGTGCCCTAATCGATTCTAAGCGTTTCCAAAGGACGCATATAGTTGGAATGAAATGAGTTTAGTTGGTTTATCGAATTCCGAAATGTACAACGTCCCAGGTCGGAGTGCAGGACAATTATATTGGGTGCATTCAATCACGAGATTATCGTGAGAAGTATTCAATGAAGTAGCCTTCTGGTCAAAGTCAAGAAGAAACGATGCGACGCGCGTGCAACTTGACCCCGTCTTGAATAGCCCATCATGGTGATTTCTTGTTTATCTGTCGAAGATGTGTACAAGGACTGATACAAGACTTATGAAAGTCGATAATGGAATATAACGGAGGGTCCGTAGTGGCCATGGCCGGTAAAGACTGCGTGGCCATTGCGTCCGATTTGCGACTGGGCAATCAAGCGTTGACAATCGCGACAAATTTCGAAAAGGTGCATCATTATCTTCAATTTTACAGTTCATTCCACCCCAAATTTTGTCTCGACCTCTGGACGCGACGCGTCAGGCCTCTAGTCGTAAACGCGCGTACTGATCAGGAAATTCGATAGGTGTTTCCCGTGACAGAAAGATCATGCTGGG